AAGATAATAAATATGAAACTACCTTGTAAAAACTAAAGTGTTATCTACATGGAAGTTCTTTTAAACATGAATTGCCTAATATGTGCCAGGAGGTCATTTGGATTCTCATGAATCCCAAGGAGTTAGTATTATCATTCCCATTTTAACAGATGTGAAACCCAAGAGAGATGTTAAATAGCAGAACTAGGACTGGAGCACAAGACTAAAGAAATTCAAAGCCTCATCTCTACTATATTGTGCTGCCTTGCTAATTTTGAATGTTAAATAATGTGCAGACCCTTCACTCCTTCTATACAGTAAGTTCTTTAAGTTCTTTTTTGTGATACAATAAATAAATATCGGTCATAACTAGCTTCGTATAATCCATGGGACCTACTGAGAACTCTGAAGTTTTTGAGTACCAGATAGTCCATGTTACCAAAGTTGAAATGTGAATGTTTTTCACTCCTAGTTGAGCCTGGCATATAAAGAATCTTTAGTCTATAAGGGCTTTGTGAAAACACAAAATCTAATTCCACTCAAATCAACTTATACATTACCCTTCTGCTTAACCAACCACCAGGAGCCTGGATTGTGTTTCTTTTTAAACTTCTCTAAAATCTAAAACTATGCCCATTTGTGGCCTGCTACTTCCACAGAGCTTGTCCCGACCCCAGGAAAAAATCAGATCCTCATTCTCCTACCTCTCTGTCTTTCCTAGTTCGCTTTGGTGTTCACAAGGACCTCAATCCATTGAAAGGAAAATTTTGCAAGCGGCCCAAATCATCTGGATGAAATATTCCTCAAAACAATGCATGTCTCTTTTCTTTGTTTCCATGTGTACAAAGCAACCATCTGATTACTAGCTTCATAATCACTACGGTACAAGGAAAAGAGTGTCCCAGACAGCAATATAAGTATTCCAATCACTGGGCAGGTATGTCCTCTATCATGAATTAATAAAATTGGTATACTCGTTGTTGTTGTTGTTTTTTTTTAACTTTTAACTTTCAATGACTCCCCCGCTGCCCACGGAATAAAGCCATAAAAAAATATCTTTATAAGTTGGACTCTGGATCCTTTACAGTATCATCTGCTCCCAAAACTCTTGCTGTTTGTTCACACCCAACTACTCACATTCTGTTCCTTGAACCCACCCCTCCATTCACTTTTACCTTCAAACCTTTGCATGTGGTATTTATTCCTGTCTTCTCTCCTCCCCACCCTCTTCCATCTGACTAAATTTCATACATCCCTAAAGGTCCACTCAAGGGTCATCTCCTTTGTCAAATCTCCCAATGAACCCCAAGTGGAAATATTCATCCCTCCTTTTGCTTCCACTGTCCTTTATACATACCTCTGTTCTAGCACTTATAGTATCATAATTACTTATTTGCATAGGTCTTTCCTTTGTTAGATGTGAATAACCAAGGGCAGGAACTCATTATTCTGGCATCTCCAGCGCCTAACACTGTGTTACTTGTAATAGGTACCTAATAATTGCTTTTTGGAGAACTGTAAGAACATATCCTGGCTCTGCTGGTTGCAACCCACTCTGAAATGTTAGGATAGAAAGTTATTAGCTACTATGTCCTATTTGCTGGGCAGTCAGGCTCTGAAAGAGCCTTTGGGATATTTAGGAAATGAGAGAGTGTTTATGTCCATGCTGAATCATCTAATCCTGCCAAAACCATGCTCACTACCAACACACAGGAAATGGTTGCCAGGCACAATTATGGAAAATCCATGCCTGACAACCATTCCTAATACAGCTGCAATACATACTGTTCTACTCCCTTCACAATGCAAATGCATCACTTCCCTTCTAGCCTCTGCCCCTTCCAGGGACAGTTTATGCAGCTGAAAACTTTAGCTCTCCTGAATATAAAAATCCTTTTTCATTTGTAGAATGAGGTGACTATAAATTAACAACAGAGAGAGAGAGAGAGAGAGAGAGAGAGATCCAAGGAATCTGGTGGCCAACCAATGAGAGCCTAGCATGCCAACATCATCAGTATCTATTTCCCCAAGTCTCTCCAAAACTAATTCTGGTCTTTGTTCTCACAAAGTACACCCCTGGTCACTCTGTTGATTCTAGCTTAGGCTAAGTGTTCTCCCATAAAGACAGTAAGGGGATTTCTAAGTCTGGAAAATGCAAGAATTCCATACAGCAAAGTAACAAAGGCCCGGATCCTAATCCACCCTGACTTTCCAGTGAGAATGATGCAGTGGGAGGGATGAGAAATTCTTCTAAGACTATCATAGAGCAGCCTGCACAACCATTCAAACAGCTCAAGTTAATTTATTTTGGCCATTTTCAACTCATTCCTCCCAAGAAAGAGATCTGTGCCTGGAAAGGATCAAATTCCTATACACCTGATCAAAGTTTTTCGGAGGAAACCAAACTAAGTGAGCCAGCTAAAAGGACTGAGCACAAGAGGCCTCTCCTGGAACCAGCCCTACTTCCCCCTTCTTTCCTCCTTTCATTTGCTAGGAATCCAACTTCCTTTCAGTTGGAGGCCACTAGCAACATGATCCGGTGAGGTGCTGAGATTTCTTCACCTATTTGTGTTATAATTCTGCAAGCTGTTAAAGCTGTCACAGCCCAACACAGGCACAGAGTGTCCTCTCTTTGAAGAGGGCAGTGCTGCTCAAAAGCCTGCGAGGAAACTTAAGGGAACTAACCATTCACTTAGCAGCATTTTTTCAATGAAGTTCAGCAGTACAATCTAACCTCTTTGTGCTCTGAAATGAACCACATTTCTTAAAAGAAAGACCACAGGGGGGTGACAGAACACTTGCTGCAGGCAGGGAAACCTGGACAGCTTACAGGAGCTGATGCAGAAGGGAACAAGCAGACCTCCTCAGCAGGTCCCTTTCAGCATTTCATTTCTCTCTCTCCTGCTGCATTCCCAAGCCACAAGGGAAGAAAAAGAGGGAGGGTTTTACAGCTTCTGCATTAGTTTCCCTTCACTGGCTAGGTGTCGTAAACAAGTATTCTGGACTCAGTCATAAGGGCTGAAGTTTCCTTCCGATGAAAAGAAACTAGAGGCCCAGTCACAAGGGCGCCGCTGAATAAAATAGGAGAAAAGTGCTGCCTCTGGAGTTTCTGGGGGGAAATCTCCCGGGCTGGAAAGCTCAACTGGCACACAAAGCAAAAGCCCAGCCCTGGATGTTCAAGATCAGAGCAGGGGCCCCCGGGACCGCGCACCCCGGCCTCGAGCGCGAAGGATGCCTCGGGCAGCAGAGGACACGTCGGGGAGCCGCAGTCCGCAGACCCTCCGCCTGTCAAAACTTTCTCGCGGACACCCAGGCCTTGCAGGAGGCACTGGAGTGCGTGGCTGCTCGGCCAGAGCGCCTCCGGGCTGCAACCCGAGTCGACGGCAAGCCTTTCGGTGGGAGGGAGGGCGGCGGCAGACCCCCGCCTCCACCGGCTCGAAGCCCCCGGGGCTGGGCGGGGGAGGAGGCCTCTCCCCAAAAGTGCACACTCACCGACCCCGGCCGCCACGCGACGGAGCGGAGACTGAGGGAGACAAAGGGGGGCGAGAGCCCCCGGGCGGGCTCGCGGCCGCCCGAGCCTCGACGAGAGGAGCTGGACACTCGGAGCGGACCGGGAGGCTGCTCCCGCCCGACTCCTCCTCCTCCCGGGCAACTCCCTACGGCGCCGGGGCTCGGGAGGCAGCCCCCGGGCTCGCCCCCTTCCAGATAGTAGGGCGGCTAATGTAGCCTGCGCTGGGGAAAGCGCCGTCTCCCGCAGGCTTATCTCAACTCCGCAAATAAGCTGGCCCGAGAAAGAGCAGGTCCGGGGCCAGCCCCGACGCCGGGGTGGGCGCCACCCCGCCACCCCGCCACCCCGCCCGGCCGCCCGGCCCCCGCCGCGCCGCCCGCCGCACCTTTGTAGCGCTCCAGCACATCCTCGTACGCCTGCACGAACTCCTTCTCCTGGCTGCGGTTGGCCGGCTGCTGACCCGGCACGTAGCCGGCCATGGCCGCCCGCGCCGCGCTCTCCCCGGGCCCCGGCGGGCGCCGGCTCCAGGCCCGCGCGCTGAGGCGGCGGCGGCGGCGGCCCCAGCCTCGGCCCTTTGTGCGGCTCGGGGGCGGCGGCGCCCCGGCTGTCCGCTTTCCGCTGTCCGCTCCTCGCCCGCCTCGCCCGGCCTGGCAGTCGCGCTCCGCTCCTCAGCCTGCCCGCAGCCGGCCGCTCGCACTCCGCCGGTCCCGGCTCGCGTTTCCGCCTCCCCACCCCTCGCTCCGCTCCTCCCTCAGCCCGCCCCGGCGCGGCGGCGGCGGCGGCGGCGGCGGCGACTCCTCCTGTCAGGAGCGGCAGGCCCGGCCGGTTCCCGCCCCTCTCCCGCCGCCTCGGCGGCCCGGCCCCCCGATGCCCACGCGGGGCCCGGCTAGCTGCGGACCACCGCGGACAGGGCAGGGGGCGCGGGCCGAGGGAGGCGGGGGCCGCCGGGAGGGAGGCCCCACGCGCGTGCGAATGAAGGGCTGGGCGGGCCGCAGCGGCGGGGAGACCCCGGGCCGACGCCACAGGGCGAGCGGGCGGGCACCCGGCTCGGCGCTGACCTACACCCGCCGCTGGGACAAAGGAGGGAGCCCCTGACTGGAGGAAACCGGGCCGGGCCTGTGCAGCCGCAGGAGAAGGGCCTAAGGAAGCTGAGGGGAAGGGAGAGAGCTAAGACCTAGATAGATCCGGGGCTAGACACGATCAGGAGGAGGACAGGAGCAGGATCCAGACAGGGCTGCAGTGGGAGGCTGAAGGCCACACTGAGGCCACACGGAATCCCAGAAACAAAGGGTTTTCCAGAAACGGAAGAAACTGAACTTGAAATGAGAGGGCACGCCAAGCACCATGAAGTAAACCAGGCCAAGGATGAGGAGCCAGAAGCTGAGAAATGACCACGGCGTGGGGGGTGGGGAGGATGAAAACGGGACTCTGACCGCACGGTGAGGGGAATAAGAGAGACAGAAGGACATAAATCTACGGGGGGGCTGGGGGGAGGGGGGACCCAACAGGATTATGGCGCTGTGACAGCCATCAGAACAGAGAGACCTAGATGGGAAGGGAGAAATGTGGGGACATGTTACGGAACAAAGAAAAGGATCCTGGAACCTAACTGGTCAGGGAAGAAGAAGGAAGCCAAGCATCTTCCGTCAGGGGAAAGGATAGCGAAGGAAGGAAACTGGTAAATACAGGTAGGGATTTATTTGGAACCATTTTGAGAAAGGGAGTTCTCAATGTCATCCCATCCTCCATTCATCCGTGTATCCTTCAGTCCCAATATTCACAGAGGGCACTGGGGGCCCACAGCTGTGAACCAGTAACTCAGGTAAATGCAGGTGATCTTTTTTTTGTCCCCAGCTCCCCTCACCCAGCCATTATCCTCCAGGGCCTCTTCAAGTCTGCTAACTTGATTTTTCAGGGGGTGGGGAGGTGGTTGTGGGTAAAAGTTAAGCTGGCTGATTTCACAATAGCAGCATATTAGCAAGTAAAAAAAGAATTCATGGGACATTGAACAGGCAAAATTGGGACTTGGGTTTCCATTTCAGTTCCCATTCTCAAGGTTTTTAAAGAGGAGCTTCTTCCCCCTGGGACAAGGCCTGCCTCTTTATGGACTATGAGTAGTTGCCAAGTACTTGGTCAGTACTCAGCACATTAGTAACAAGAGATGATGCTTTTCACTAATAGGAGCACACTGGTTGTTTCCACATCATACCATGATCAAAAATCGGGTGAGCAAGTCATTAATCATACCTTTCCCCATCCATCAAGTTCTGCTGGCCTGCCCAAGTTCAAGGCATGAAAATCATATATGGAAGGGCCTAAAAGAGGGGGGACAAGGGAGGGTGTTTGGACAAAGGCTCATTTCCTTCCAGTTTAATCCTTTGTGCTTAAAAAAAGCTAGACCACAGTTTGGTGTCAGCTGCTAGTGAGCTCAGTTTAAGAAAAGAAGGAGAATAAGCTTGAAGTTTTGGGTTGTTTGTTTTTTTTAAAGATTTTATTTATTTATTTGACAGAGATTGACGGTAGAAGGAACACAAGGCGGGGAGGGGAGGCAGTGGGAGAGGGAGAAGCAGGCCTCCAGCTGAGCAGGGAGCCCAATCAATGCGGGGGGGGGGGGGGGGCTCATCCCAGGACCCTGGGATCAAGACCTGAGCTGAAGGCAGATGCTTAACAACTGAGCCACTCAGGCGCCCCAAGCTTGAGGTTTATTATTTTTCAAATAAGAGACTTAGTGGAAAATGCAGGGTGAAGGAATTGGAGATTGATGGCATAAGCACATTTTTCGTAAACAGCAGAGAATATAGAAATGCTAACTCTGGGGACCTTGACTGTATCCGTGCTGAGTCATCTGCATTTCCTATATTATTTTATTCCAGTAGGGCTAAGAAGGCCCAGACATAAATACACATACACACACCTCCACCCTCACCCCAGACATCTGCCTCATTTTCATTACAGTAAATAGAAAAGTCCCTCCATCCCCTCCTGGGGCTGCTACTTGTGTCACTTTGTAAACAGGTTCCTCAAGAATTGTGACTGAGGCTTGCCAAAAGTGAAGAAAGACAGGGGCAAGAAGGGAGAGAGAGTCTGTTCTGGGAATCAGACTTTGTTGAAGGCTTAGGGGGCTTAGAGGGGAGAGGGCAAGAGGTTGAGATTCCTTTTAAGAAACATGGTATTCAAGGAAGAAAGTTCTGGTTTGGGTTGTGGCTGGAGGGCTTCTCAGACTCAAGTAGCTTTCTTGACAAGATTTGCATTTAAATGCTCCCATGAGATTTTGAAGTAATGAATTCGTCTAATGAATGGAAAAGGGGAAGTCCACATGTTTGGCTGATGTTTCTGTTTTATACAGAGAAAATTTTATAAGGATAGAGGAACAAAGCAGCTGCTGGAGGGTGGGGGGATGGGAAGAAGAAAGACTATGAAGGGAAGGTTTCTGGTTTTTTCCAAGCAACAGTCTAAATTTATATCCAGACCACACAATCAGGACAGCTCTGAGGCTCTCTTCTTTAGGTCTATGATTTTCCTTTGCTCCTGATGGCGACTCTGCTATTGCATTTCTAAGGAGGCTGCAGTGGGGAAGCTGAAGGAGGCAGGATGTACTCAGAAGGACATCTAGTGGGAAGAAAGGGTAAATAAAGTAAATAAAGCCTTACTTTTCCACCACATCCTCCCCCACTCAAGCCTCACCAAGGGCCCCTCTCTCTAAGGTCCAGCCTCTTTCAACATCTTTCAGCTTCTCAAACATGTGCTCTCTTACCTCAGGGCCTTCCCACCTGCTCTTTTCTCAGGCTGTAATCCTTCAATGCTCTCCTCTTTTGGCCTGGCTCATCCTACTCACACCTTTGCTGAAACTCCTGCAGGGAAGCCTGCCTTGATCCCTGGGATTAGTAGGTCTTCCCACCCCCTCTACTCCCCTTTGGTAATATCCATCACACTTGAAGCTATCAATTCCATGTCTTTAATCCTAACTAAACCATTAGCTCCCCTGAGGACCGGGGCTGTTGTCTGCCTTGTTCACTAGACCTGCATCTAGCAAATAATCTGGCATGTGCAGGGCACTTGTCAAATATTTGTTTAAAATTTTGATTCAGTGGATGCATGAGTGGACCAGATGATCCTAAAATACTCAGCTGCCTGTGGCTTCTGACTAGCTGAAGGCTAGAGTATTTAAGAAGAGAATGTGCTTGTCTCCCACAGTGTCCCTTACCTGTGCCTGACATTCAAAGTCCTCCATATTTTGACATCTACTTTCCTTTACAGGCTGGCCTCCCGCGATGCCCTCATGTGTGGGGGCTTCCCCTATAATCAAACTCTGAGCCTTTGCCTGGAATGTCCTTTACTCCCCAACTTCACCTAGTAAAATCCTACCCATCTTGGAAGCTCACCCAAAATGACATGAAGTTATTTTTAATCAACCCAGGTAGAAGAGACTCCTCTCAAAATCCCAGCCACATTTTCTTCCTCTCACTCCCGGGACTCCAGCCACACGTATTGTGGGTGTCTGCATCACTGCCTCCTTCATTCAGAAGTTCTTTGAGACACATCTATTTCATCTTCCTTCATCATAGGACCTAACACAAGGCTTCGCATCTACTAGACGTTCAAGAAATATTTGCTGAAGGCATAGATGTCTCAAGTGAAGACATGGGGGTGGGAGATGTGGGCAAGATCTGTGATTCAAGACAAATGAGAATCCAATTCAGCGTCCACTCAGTGGCCAAGGGCTTCAGGTGCAGAGGAGAAAGAAGAAAATGAAAATGTTTCTCTTTCTGCTAGCGCTCCTCCTCCAACCTCTACAAGGTTTACTCCCAGCACTTCTTCAGCTTGGCTCCTACTGCATTATTTTACTTGTGTTAATGGATGCTTTATAAATAAATTCTTTGCTAGTAGTGCGTGTGCGCGTCCGTGCATCTGCGCACGCGCTCTGTTCCTCCTTGCGGGGGTAGGCTGTTTCCTGTGCCTTTTACATTCCCCCGTAGTAGCTGGAACCAGACACTGAAGGGGCTGCCCCAAAGCCCTGTCCTTCAGCTAGATCTTGGAAGAAGATCATCCGGTTCTAGTCTCAGGACACCTGCCTCCAGGCTCAGCGCCCCCAATCTTCCATCACCAGCTAAAACTCCCTTTCCGCCCAGCCCCTGGAAAACACTAAGCTTTGCCTCCAGTTTCCCAGACCGCTCTGGGGTAGGAATCGTCTGCCCACCATCATGCTGCCCTCTTCTGTTCAGAAAGTGCAACGTCGCTAATTTAAGAGGTCTGGATGGTGCCAGCCACCCAGGAAGACAAGATCCCTGCCACAGGCAGCCCGTCACCATAGCAACCCTCAAAATGGTTACTCAGCCATCTGGGTTACCATAGCAACTAGCCAAGTCTCTCCACCTCAGCCTCCCTAGGCCTTCTCCCCTGGATTGTCAGAGCCAATGCCAAAGAATCTCCAATCCTTACATGGGGAAATGAGCAGAAGCTGGACCTCTGATAGGCAGCTGTCCCGAAGGGGCGTGGAATGCCTCACCCGCCCGGGGCTTCCTAAGGCACAGTGGAGATAATGGGAGTTAAGGCACTCCGTGAACCTTGAAGTGCCTCGCAGATGTTAGCTATTATTAAACTACCCTTCCTTGTAATGGGGGAGGCAGTGGGATGCCCTAGGCAGAGCTAGAGCCATTCCCAGCATGGCCTCTTACTGGCCAGGAGACCTGGAGCAAGTTATGGGACTCTGGGTTTCTGTTCTATCTACGGTGGCATATCTGCCTCCTAAAGTTGTTTTAAGGATGAGGTCAAATGAAGCCTGTAATCTACTAAGCACAAACCTGGCATTCAGAACATATCAGTAGTACCTAGGAATGCTACCTAGGCCCCTCTGCCGTCTCCTAGGCTTTCTGTGACTCTAACCACTTTTTTTTCTCTCTTGAAGGAAGCAGGCAAATGTGAGCCCAACTCATTCAACCACACCCAATCTCCCTTCCTGCTCATCCTGTGTAGGGGCTCTTTGGTTCCTCCCAAACAGGGCTATAGGCACTCTGCACTCTTTGGGGGAATTGGGAGGTTCCCCAAATTAGGCGCTGTGGCTAATCCCTCCACTTGAAATAACATTGCCTGTGGCACCTGGACGGCTTAGTCAGTTAAGCATCTGCCTGCGGCTCAGGTTCTGATCCCAGAGTCCCAGGATCAAGCCCCTCATCAGTCTCCCTGCTCAGCGGAGAGCCTGTGTTTCCCTCTGCCTCTCACCCCGCTCATGCTCAAGTGACCTCTCTCTCTCTCTCAAAAATATAAATAAAATCTTAAGGGAAAAAAATAATAACATTTCCTCATTCAATGCTACCTCAGGACAAAAACCCCTAAAGGGTTAGTGAGAGGTAGCCTGGAAGCTGAGTACGGATCCCAGAGAAGCCCTGGAGAGGAAACAGCTCACCAACATCAGGGCAGGCCTGGGGTGCAGGCCCCTCTCACAAGACCAGAATCCCTTCCCTCTATGATTTTAAAGTATTCAGTCCTAATGCATCTCAAGTTCAGTATCTTAAGACTGAATCTTTGAAATCCATCTTCAGGGGACTTTCTTAATTACACTGGCAGGGTCCTGATTCATTTGAAGTGGTTTAGGCAAAACAAACAGATTTCACTTCAGAAATCAAATTTCCAGACACAGAGCCAGGACTGCTTGAGCCCAGCTCTGCGTATTCCGGGAGTAGGGCATGAACTGCAAGCTGGAAGGGCCAGAAGATCAGATAAGCAACACTGGAAGGGACATGTGGGGCCCTGGCATTCAGAAGTCAGAGTCCCACATGATGCCTCTGGGAAATGGGTTGAGTGGGATGGTTCCCATTAAGATATGACTACTGAACAGATAAACCAATATATTGACTACAGGGGAAAAGGCAATATGATAGATTTTATTTATTTATTTGACAGAGAGAGAAATCACAAGCAGGCAGAGGTAGGTGGGGAGGGAGGGCAGGCTCCCTGCTGAGCAGAACGCCTGATGCAGGGCTTGATCCCAGGACTCTGAGATCATGACCTGAGCCCAAGGCAGAGGCTTAACCCACTGAGCCACCCAGGCACCCCAATATGATAGTTTAAATGTGAGGCGGTGAAAGTGTGTGATTACTGGAACTTCCAACTCTGTAATTGGGGAGGCAGAAATGAGGTGCATGGCCGAAATAAGATTGGCCATGAATTGATCATTCTTGAATCTGGGTGATGGGGGTTCACTATACTATTCCCACAACTTTAGTGTATGTTTGAAATGTTCTGAAGAAGGTGGGGAATTTAGAGTTAGGCCGGGAATTTGGAGTTAGGCCAACCTAAGCCACAGCAACCAGGGGGCGCCATACACATTCAGCGATGCTGAACCCCAGCTCCACTAGCCCCTTACTGTCTGACCTCAGACAAGTTCCTTCTCCTCCTTACTGTAATACCGGGAGAGTAGCAACTAGTTCCCAGGGTTCTGGGAGGACTGAATGATATAGGCACACATATAGGACTCAATATACAGTGGCTTTTACAACTATTATTTACTAGGGGATCCCAGCTGACATCAGCAACTAGGAGCTCCTGGACTGAGTCCAGAGTTCAAATCCCCAAACCACCCACTGAATTCTTTAATTCCTAATTCCTCCCGGCTGTTCGCTCTTCATTTCCCTTCCTTCCTTTCTGCTAAGGCCGAAGAGAGGAGAACAGGAATAGAAACAAACAACAGAGATATGCCCTTTCTCTTCATGTTGTCCTGGCAGTCTTATTTCTTTCCCAAGTCCCAGATCAAATGCTATCATAGTGCTAAGCTAGCAGTGGGGGCAGAAGTAGGGAAAAAGGCCTTCCCATTGGAACTTCCAGATAACTCTGGCTTGCCACGTGCTCAGCTCAGGATGCGTGCTGGCTGCCTGCACAGGAGGGAGCTGGGTTCTGAAGCCCAGTTGGAGCCTAGCACAAAGCAGCTCTAGAAATATGTGGCAAACAAGCAAATGCATGATCAATGAATAAGAAAAGGAATGAATCGATGCATTCATGAATTAGTGAACAAGTGTATGAGCAAATGAATGACATTCATGGAATGGTTAATGTGTATCTAGTGCTGGTTACCTAGCAGGCATTGAGCCAAGCACTTCACTCTCACTATCTCATTTAACCCACCCCATGAGACTCTGCAGTGGCACTCTTGGTCCCCCCATTTTAACTGTGGGAAAGTGAGGCTCAGTGAGGTTAGTCATTTCCTCAGGCTCACCCAACTGGCAAGTGATAGAACTGGAACTGGGACTCCAGCTGACTCCCAAAGCCATGCCCTTGAGTGAATGAATAGAAGAGTGAGCACGAGAGGGAGGAGACGAGTAAGGAGGGAATGCAGAGGGAAAGGAATGCCCAGAGACACACCCACTGAGGCTCCAGGCAGAACCTCCCCCTAGACACAAGGCAAAACCCTGGTATCTTCTTGAGTAGGGGTGAGACACAGCTGAGGACAGAAACTTCTACCCATCATTGGTTTTCAGGTTACAGGGGCTGCCAGACCGTCTCTGCAGCAGCCTCCTAAGTCCAGGCAGAGACTGCAGCCAGGTGCACCATCTCTGCTCCTGCAGGAGCGCCAAGGCAGAGCCAGGAAGCTGGCCCACTTCTACCTGACAGGTGGCAACTGGCAGACTCAGGGCCAAATCACGGCAGGTCCTAGCCGCAGCAACTGGCCGGGTGCAGGATCGCACTTTGGTGGTGGTGGGTTATTAATACTCCCCCCATCCAGATACGTTCACAGACCTCTTCCCGGCTGGAAGGCTGCGGCAACAAAAGAAAACGCAGCCCTAGATTCCACTGTACAGTCAGCTCCTCTGGTGTCATGTCATCGCTAACCCTGTGGGACTGAGAAATGACAGGCTTCCGTAGCCCCCGAATGAACCAGTCCTTCCTCCACATTCCTAACCTCAGCCCTTAGCTGCTCCAGAACAGAGAGGCATGAGTCAGACTGCCATTCCAAACCTGTCTCCGTGTCACCTGGGAAGTCACTGGAAAAGCATGATGGAAAACCAACAGCACAAAGCTGACACCATGCAATGTGGCAATCACCTTCCTTTGCCAGCTGGGGTCCCACAAAGACCCTGAGCCTCAGACGAAAGACAGTCAGGCTGTCTTTTCTGCTGCCTGCACAAAATTCTGCCCACGTGGTCACTTTCCATCCCTGCAGCTACTGTGACCCAGATTCACTTTCAAAGGGCTGGGGAGTGGAGCTACAATTCTTTCTGCCCCACTTTCATGGGACTTTCCTGCTACCGAAACCAAGCTCCAGGATAGGATCAGGGGACTCCGGAGGATACTGCCAGGAAGAAGCAGAGAAGCTAGGAAGTAAGAGGACCTCCCTGGGTGCAAAGGTCAAAGAACCTGGGGCAAGCAAGACTGGTGGCTCTGGAGTAAGGGTTCCCAGTGGAATTGTTTTTAGGGCTCCCTTTCCTGCCCCTGCTTTCCTTTCTTCCCAACATGGTTTGGCCAGAAAAAAAAAAAAAGCCTTTCCACCTGCCCTCTGACAAAGCCCTAGTGTGAACA